TTCAATATGTATAATAATTCCTAAGTCACAAATATTGTTAAAATGCAAAGCCTACCGACTTATTAGCTTAATCAGCCATTTGAGTCCTTTGCATCATGCATACAAGAATGTTCAGAGAGCTGAAAGAGCTAAGCGGCGAGATACAATTTGGTTTCAAGGGTGGATTAGTACATGTGAATTAGCTTCCTGATTTAATAAGCTTGTACGAAACTTGCATGTACCACCGAAAGGAAATATTCCTAAGATTTAATTATAAAAAAGGTATGATTATACAGGAGGCAGTCAAATATAATCAAATATAACATATATCCATGAAGAGTTGGAATATAAAACTGATTCAAGCTACTACAGTAAACATAAAAACTAAAACTTTTGAAATAAATGTCAGTTAAATCTATTGCCCACCTCAACACTCCATTAAAAAAGAACAGTATATTAAATTCCTAAAAAACTTAGGGAAAATATTTATTATTGGAGGAGACTTCAATGCAAAAAACATACACTGGGGGTCTAGAATATCTACCAATAGGAGGAAGGAACTTTAAATGCTATAAAAGAATATGGTGTAATCACTATCAACTGGCAGACCAACCAATTGGTCTAATACAACTACACTAACAAATCAATTGATGGATTGGGCAAGTTTAAAGATAAGCCTCAAAAAGAAAGTAAATATAAGAGTTCCGTTAAGACACGCAGTGCAATTAGATAAAGAAGCAGACCTGTTGGTAAACAATATTCAACAAGCAGCATAGGAAAACACTCCTACACTAAAATCTAGGTTAAAAGAAAAAATTATCCAAAGGAAGTAAGCAACATGATAATCGAAAAAAGAGAGCTGAGGAGAATTTGGCAACAAACAAGGGCTCATCAAGATACGGCCAAACTAAAGAATGATTTAAGTAATTAATTCTTACTTACAGGAGTTGAGGGATGACAGTAGCACTGATTATTCCTTAAGAAAAGCTACTAGAAGACTAAAAAGACCTCTCCATCTTGGAATAATTATTTGCTTTCCACCTAATAAATTAGAAAAAAAAAAGTAGACCAGAAATAGTCTATAAAAAGCAGAGCTATTTATATTCATAAGCACAAGAATATTGAGGCAATCCAGCTCCTTGGTATTATAGGGCAACCTAGAAGATTTTAAAGGACAAAGCCTTTTGAACTAGTTTAAGTGATAGTGAAAAACAGAGCATAGTGCTTGTGCGCGTGTGCATGTTAGAATAGTGCACTGTACTGTTAGTTTAGATAAGAGACGCTATAGGGTAAGTTCTTAATTTTAACTTGGGTTAATTTGAAATTGCATATTGGTCATTTATTACAAGATTGTAATTCTAATAATCACCATCGTTCTGATGATATTTAAAAAACAATTATTTACTTATTTTGGATCTGGTTGTATTCAGTATACAAAAATCCATCAATCGAGATATTACAAGAATCAGTCTATTATAAAGGTTCTTAAAAACATTTTTAATTTAATTTTTTAGTTGTGACAGATTCCTACGAAAAATGGACGGATTGCCATTGATAACGTTACGTAAAAATAAATTAATAATTTGACTCTAATTACTCTGCAAAACAAATGGTTATTTTGGGTCAACAACAATAATCAGCACGTGTAGTAATCATCATTTTTTGTCGAAAATATGCACACTAATTAACAGGTTAATTTATTGGTTTTTATTCAAGGATATTCAACGTGGGTAATAATAAAACAGAACATTTTATAGTCAATAACAAACTAAATCACAAGTGAAATTATTAATTCTACATAAAAATAAAACCAAAGAATTTTGCAAAGAAAGTGCCTTTTTCCTTGTGTAGTTTTCAAATATCTAAATTGTTTAATCAAACATGATCTAAAAGCAATATTAAGAAGCATACTGAACCAATATGGATTAGAAGAAAATGGATAGAAGCAGTGGCGGTTGGTATATAAGTGCTGCGGAACTGCAGAACTACCAAAATAATCCAAACAAAATTACTTTGAAAATTAAATAAAAAATATCACTACTTATAAAATCTAAATTTATTTAGATGGTTTTCGTGCATGACCGCCTTTATTTTAATCTGTCGTCTGTCGCATCTCATGGCGACAGCAAGTGCCACTTGTTTGACCGGACCGGTGCTACTCCGAGCTGTGAACTGTTAAAGATATCCCCGATAACACCCGCTCAACCCCTCGCCTTCACTTTTCAGGCGACGACTGAAAGAAATATTTGAGCTGCATTTGTCGCAGTTCGAACTAGTGTGTACAAACCTACGTTTTTTGTAATTTTAAATAATCGGTGATCGCGACGCGACGACTGTTAAAATAAGTTGTCCTGCACGTAATTCGGTATTTATATTAAGTATATGAGAATAAAAGTGCTGTTCAGGATGGTTGTTATTTATAATTTGATTAATGTTAAGAGATTCTTAAAATATTCTTATGACGAAAAACTAGAATTAAAATGCAAAGGACGTCTTTTGCCGGATATTAAAATCAAAAAAGAAGGATCAAGCCGAGGGAAAAATTACAAACGACAATTTAATTGCGATATTTATACGAGAAATAGTTGGATATGTGGCTGCAACAGAAAAAACGCTCTTTTCTGTTTTCCTTGTGTATTCTTTGGAGGTGATAAGTCATGGACGCAAGTTGGTGTAACAGACTTAGTACATTTAAGTGATAAAATAAAAAAGCACGAAATTTCTAAGCATCATTATCATTTGGATAAATATTCAAAAATTCAATGAAGCTGTAACAAAAAATAGGTATGTTCTCTCAAAAATTATAGACTGCATAAAATTTTGTAGTGTTTTCGAATTGGCGCTTCGTGGTCACGACGAGACACAAACATCCGACAATCCTGGAATTTTTCGCGGCCTCATAAATTTTACTGCTGAATTGGATAGAACTTTAGCACAACACTTGGAAGAATCGACGGTTTTTAAGGGCATTTCTAAAGAAATTCAAAATGATATTTTGGACTGCATGTTGGAATTATGCCAGGATAAAATTTTGGAGGAAATTCGGGAATCTCCATATCTAGCTGTCATGGCCGACGAGACTACAGACATTTCAGCAAAATCACAAATGGTTGTAGTATTTAAATATTGTCGAAATGGAGCACCGGTAGAACGATTTTGGACATATTTGGTATCTTTAAAATTAAATGCAGATACTTTAAGCAAAAACATTTTCAGTGTTTTGGATCCTATCCTGGAAAACTCAAATAATAAACTAATTGCTCAGAGTTATGATTGGGCAGCGGTCATGTGTGGACAGCACGCAGGAGTTCAAGCCAGAATCATAGAAAAATATCCATTTGCTCATTTTGTACACTGTTACGCGCATCAATTAAATTTAATAATGTCTAAGGCTTGTTCCGAAAACTCTCAAGTTAGACTTTTTTTTGGAAATTTAAATGAAATCCCTACCTTTTTTAAAAATTCGCCACAACGAGTGGCAATTTTAGATAAAATCGTCCAAAAGAAATTTCCTCATGGCGCTCCAACTCGCTGGAACTTCAATATTCGAACTGTTAATGTTGTGTTTGAACATCGATCTTCTTTTATCGAATGTATGGAAGAAATAGAAGAATCGTTTGATAAGGCAGCTGTCTGTAGTTCAGCGTCTTACATTCGAAGAATACTAGTGGATTACAATTTTATTTTTTGGTTAATATTTTTCTATCGCATAATGCCACTAGTAGACGTTTTGTATAATGCCCTTCAAAAGACTAAAACGGATCCTTTGGAAATCAATAAAAAGGTGACAGATTTCGAAAGATACATGAATTCAGTTAGAAATTCAATAGATGATACCATTGACCAAGGTTCTAGTTTATGCGTTGAACCATTACCAACTAAAAGGTTACGGAAGGATAACAGTCCTGTAGATCATCGGAGAGCATCTATCGAAGTTTGTGATATAATCATAAATTGTGCAAATGATAGATTTGCTTTTAAAAATCACCTACTTGCAACTTCATTGCTTTATCCTGAGCAATTTGATAATTATTGTGATAATTTCCCAGATGATAATTTAAGCCTGACTTGCGCGTCATATCCAAATTTAGATAGGGAGTGCTTGAAGACTGAATTATCTGTTATTTATTTTAGAAGAGACTGTAGAGACATTAATGGGGCAATACCCTTTTTAAAATTTTTAATTGAAAATAATTAAACAGAGCCTTTTCAAGAAACTCTAAAACTGCTTCAAATTCTAATTACAGTGCCCATGAGTACGGCAGAAGCTGAAAGGTGCTTTTCGAGTTTAAAACGGATTAAAACATTCTTGAGAAATTCCATGACTGAAGACCGACTTTTAGCATTAACCATGTTGTCAGTAGAAAAAACACTTATAAAAGAAATACCAAACTTTAATGAAAAAGTTATAGACAAGTTTGCTTTAAAAAAAAATCGACGAATCGAGCTTATTTATAAAAAAAAAATAATAATATATTTGGCTCTGTGTGTAGTTAGTTCGTAAGACCCTATAATGCAATTATTGTTGTGGCGATTTTGTTTGTAGTGTTTTTTCGTTTGCATTCCTTAGTTTCGCGAATTTATCGATAAAATTCTACTAAAACATAAACTATAAAACAATTACTAGTGTGCCATAATGTACCATTATTGCTATTTTTGATATAGTTGGATTTATCTTCAATTTGAAAAGAAGAAAATCGGTAAGTTCTTTGTTATTTTTTAATAGATATATAATGAATAAATATATGGTGTAAAATATCAAACTAAAAGCCTCGTTGTAAAATACAACGATTAAAAGATGTTGAATTAAAAAAAACCAAAAAATACTGCAGAACTACCAAATTTTTGAGTCACCAGCCGCCACTGGATAGAAGCTTTCTACTGAAAATCTCATAAAAAAATAAATCCTACAAAAAACATATCAGAGCTTTAGTTGTATATGTAACAAGTTATGTTATTACAGCAAATATCTAGATTTAACTATGTTAGCTCGCGTTAAGTTTAAAAAAAGAGAAACTCACCTTTTGCCCATCCAGTAACAACGTTTCCCAAATATGCTACCCTGTATACAGGATCTGGTTTCGAGATTGTAGCACTTCCATATTTCTTCAATCTAAGTCTATTCAGTAAACACTTAATAGCCTTTTTCCCTCTGTCTTTCTGCAATTCCTTTCTAGGCATTTCACTATTCAAAGTTTCTATGGATGGTACTTTCTTCAAATCCGCCGGTATTTTCGGCGGTAAAATCGCGCTGTCGACGGTATCTTGGCCGGCGCGCATTTTCTCCTCTCTCTCCCTCTGCGCAACGTACATTTGCGTCTGGGTTAGAGAGATGTTGATATCACTTGACATTAACATAATTAAAATAGTACACTTTTAAACTTCTTTGAGACGTTTAACCACTTCCGACAAGTACTAAGTCACAGTACACTTATTTCCACGACAGGTGTTCAGAGTCGTTGTATAATAATTACATGGTGGACGTTGACTGAAGTCTTTCTATTGCCTTTTCATGCGGGATTGTCCGTCTGCTAGCAGTTCTGAAACAATAGTTAATGCATGAGTTAGCTTAAAACAATATTCGGTATAAATAGAATATAAATTGCCTTTATATCAAAGGGATATATATTTTTTAAAGTTTGATATATGAACAAGAATTCCAAATTAAATTAACATTTAAGCATTCCTAAGCGAATAAAATAGTATACAGATAACGACACTGTTTTGTTGGCCATTGTAATTAAGATTTATTACAATCCCATTTCTAGAGTATATTTATTATAATGCTCTAAAACTAATTTTTTGGGTATTTTTAGCCTTAATAGCAATACAAATAAATAAGTAAGTAAATAAGTAATATGCTTTATTATCACTGAAAATTGTACAAATTTTATGGACAAAGCTTATAACAATAAGACAAGAAAGAAGAAAAATATCAGAATAAGAATCGTTTTTACTTTTAAATAAAAAAAAAACAAAAACATTGTTTCAAACTTAAAGATAAAAAATACCTAATTAAGAACCTACAAACTTAGTAAAATGTACCTAATAAAAAATAAAAATTAGGAAAGCAGATTAATGAATTAAGGAGGTGTCAATCAAAATCAATCATGTCCACCTTAAGAAGTTTTAGGGAAATCGCAAAAAACATGTTAGTAAATAACCTTACATGAAAAATCGGATAAATTAGCATATATAATTTTATTTATTGAAATTAACTGACTCTTAGTAAATATTTCAAATCTGAAGGTATAAATAAACCTGTAAATACATTTTAAAAAAAGGACATGTTCTTATTTGATTGGACTTCATGGACGTTGATAGAATGGGGTTGATAAAGAAACTCTTAGACTACTTAAAATATCTATTGTTTTGTTACAAAAAATATCTTGAAAAATACTAACATTTACCAACGACACTTTCCACAAAATATAAATGTTTAAATGTGTAGTCCAATGTCAGGTTCAAGATAATCACAGGATTCGTCCACTTCGTCAGCATTAATTTCGTCGTCCTGGACTTCCACTATTAGTGTCTTATACCAAGATAAAAAGTCATGTTTCTGCCAGTCATCACCAAACATTTTCACAAGTATTGTCTCCACGTCCTTCTTCTTAGCTGCTTTCACTATATTGCTCAGTGGAAGTGACTCTACAGGAGTTGAGAACGACCTTGCAGAATGCCAGCCTTTTTTTTTTGAGGCTTGTTGTAGGTTTCAAAATCACTTTCAAACTTAAAATTCTGTGCCGATTTCACTTTGATAACAGTAAGTTCTTGTTCATTGCGGTTGACAGCTTTCTCTTTCCTCACAAAAATCTTCTTTTTTTCAGATATCATTTCAATGTTTTTAAATCGTGTAGCCAAACTTTTGGCATCAATCAATCCCCAATCCTCTCCAAGTTTCCGTACTTCTTCAACAGAACTATATACATTGTAGTACTCTTCCTTTGTTGCAATGGTAGGCTGCTTCCTGAGTAACTTTTCAACCCTTTCGAACACCCTATCAGCGGGGAGGAAGCTATGCCCGCGAACAGGGCATGTTAGAACAATCTCTTTTTGTTTTGACCGGCACACCCATCACAGAACAGATTCAGTCTTGTTACATTTGAAAAATTAGCGGAGTTCAAGAAATTTATAAGTGCAGATGAAACTTCGGTCGCACCCCTTCCTGCAAGTTCTTCAGTCCATACGTAAAATATGGGGTTTTGTGCGTTTGATACTACAATGCAAAAAGAGTAAAAACTTAATTGTCTTTTGTAGAACGCGTCTTGAATAGGAGTTCTGGGAAGTGCTTGAATTTGATGGAGATCAAAACAGAAAGTAACCTCATTTTCTTTGTTTTCCTTTAAGAGCCCATAAAAAGCATTAGCTCTTAATCTGTGTATTCTTTTCTCCATCATAAATTGGTTGACCACTACCAAGTCTTTCACAGCTTTAGCCTTCTCAATTTTCAGCTGAAGGTCTATTTTATTGCATGTACTGCAAACGTCAGAAGCTGGTGATGAAAATCCGATATTTAATTCATTGAAAACTCTCCTAAATATAGATTTCTTAACTTTAAGATTATCAAGTACAGAATCATTGTATATTAGCCACAACTTCTTAATGTTTAAGTCTGCACCAAGATAAATCCTTTTCGATCTTTTTCGATTATAGTGGCTTTCTTTTCCTCTTAAATTTCTCAAAAAAGGCGGACTGATTCCTTGTTCGCAGCAGATTTGTGACTCTTCCTATCGCCACCCCTCTGATCCTTAACAGCCTTTCCCTCTTTCACTTTTTTAGAAATATTAGTCAATCTTGTTCCCTTCACCATGGTAATATGCATGAAAAGTTTCCTACACACAGGTATAACTTTACCGGTTGATGAAAGTATAGAATATTGTACACTAAAACTTTTAGACTTTGATTTTTCAGAGGTAGGCCTAGGCCTTCGCCGCTTTATGTTACGTTGATTTATCCAACTGGCAATGGTGTGCAATCTTGCGTGTTTTTGTCAGGTATTTTGTAGAGGATATTTCGAACAAAAATAGCATCTATAGGCCAAACTAATGCACATTTCATACCTTTGTTCATGTGTTTACATGGAACAAACACACGACATCCCACTGGGATACTGTATCGCTTAAGCTTGGCTCTAGTTTTTTTATCCACAGTCTTTTTATTTTTACGAGATCCTTTATTGGCATCGCCCACTCTTACATTTGATTTGGGAACCTAATATTGTGTATTCATTTTAAACAGGACATGATTTTTTTTAACCGAAACCGAAAACACCATAGAATAGGATTCACTCTTTATATTATGAAACAGCTGCTAACTCATTTTTTGATTTTTATGGACATGATTGATTTTTATTGACACCTCCTCAATTAAGGGCTCAAATATTCCACTTTCTTGTGCTAAACAGTAACCAAATCTGTCATACAGATTTCTTCTGATATTTTGGAGTAGGGCTGGTGTAATGCTTGCAGAGAAATGAAATATTTTTGTCCTTAATTCGACTAGGTTTGTGGCCCTTTGAAATTGATGCTTATGATATGTTTTCTTTGAGAAAACCCCAAAAAAAGAAATCGTTAGGTGGTAAGTTACAAGATCTAGTGGGTCATTTAATTATACCACGTGGACTTATCAGTCGATCAAAAAACGTTTGATTAAGGAAGTCAATAGTTGCTCTAGAGTTATAAGTCGAACACTATCCTGTTGGAAATAAACCCCTTGAAAATTAACGGGAAGGCGTCGAACAACCGGAATGATCTCATTCTGTAAAATTTGTAAATATTTGGGCCCGTTTAGGTTTCCATCGATAAAAAATGGACCGACAATATGGTCGCCTAACATTACAGTCGAAACATTTAACACTGAGGTGCTTATTTTTCCGAGAATAATACCTTGCAACGGATGGATTGTGTTTTTTATGTAATTAAAATGAAGATTCGTTAGAAAATCAAATGTTTTTTAAAAAGTGTACATTTTCATTCTGTTTATCTAACATAAATTCACAAAATTCCATCCGCCTAAAGTTATATTCCGGAAACAGTTTTTGTGTTGGTTGTATCTTAAAACAGTGATACCCATTCCTTTTAAGAACTCGCTGGACAGTTCGAGCATTCACGTTAACTGCCCTAGCAATTTGTACACTATTGCAGAATTCACTAGCTTCCACAAAAGCACAAATATCAATATTCCTGTTTTGATGCTCCTCATCGACAGGTCTAACATGTGGTTTACTACCTTTATGACACTTTTTACAACTGTTTACACATTCCGAAGTTTGAAAATGTTTAATGGTATTTTTAACTGTTGTGACACTTGGTGGGGGTCTATTTTCGAAGGCAACACTAAATAAATCAATTACTTTGCGTATCGAATGACCCTGAAAGTACCATGTTACAAGTTGCATTTTTCTCGGACAGTATACAACATTATAGGCATTTTATTAATTATTTGTTTACTCTTTCAGAACTTCGTTTGAAATTTTTAATGGCAATGTAACAATTACGACAATTCGTACCTATATATATATATATATATATATATATATATATATATATATATATATATATATATATATAAGATGGCAATGACTTTTTAGGTAGTGAACATGGCATGTTAGTTTAAATGAAAAATAAACAACTAAGATAAACTAAAAATTCAAAATAGTATTAAAACAGAAAAAAATCCGAATACAAACAAAGAAACAAAAAAACAAAGATCCGCATGAGACAAAAACCTCAACACGAAAAATTAAAAGAAACAAAGACGTGAAGGTATTTTTTTATTGTTTTCAATCCATCCTTTCTTAGTATTCTTCCCTTTCTTCTCCGTCTATCACTTTAATAGTCGGTTTAACCCATCTGTTATCTGATAATTTTGCTATTTACTATTTTCTATATATATATATATATATATATATATATATATATATATATATATATATATATATATATAAATTAAACCTTATAAAAGCTCTGAGCTGCAGATTAAATAAATTGATACATCCAATTAACCGAAGGGAATCCCTTAAGTTATTAAGAAACATTCTAATAGAAAATTCATATCCTTCATCTATCATAAATAAATACCTTTATTCACAAAGCTATGGATCCTCATTTGATGACATACCCGATGGTGACCAACTTAGAAACATTTCAAATAATTCAATGAATAGCATTGTTCTGCATGATACTGATCTACTGATCTTGAGAATCCCACGACCCATTATTCTTCTTTACCTTATTTTCCTCAAGTTACTGAGAAGCTTATTAAACTGTATAAGCAAAATAACATACCGGTTAAAATTGCTGTCAAGAATGCGAAAACTGTTAGAAATTTGTTCTCCAAAACTAAAACACCCTTGTCCACTTTGGAACAAGTTAACACGATTTATCAAATTCCATGCGCTAATTGCGATTTATGTTACATTGGTCAGACTTTTAGATCATTAAAAGGTCGTCTCACTTCACATCGTAGTGACATTAATTTATCAAAACACATTTGTGCCCTGGCACAGCACGCGATAAATACTAAACATAAAGTGGAT